TATATATATATATATAGCATTTGTGTTTGCTGCATTTATACACACTGTGTGAGACTGGGACTCTAGAGACATTTCTCCATCTTTAGWTTAAGCAGTTGAAGCATAGATAGACGGAAAAGTAGTTGAGGAAAAAAAAAGAATTGCGTCCAGATTGTTCTGCCCCCCCTAACTGCCTGTATTTAGGGGGTCACCTTTTCCTTGAGGCTAAACTGAACGTAGTATCTCTCTGGAACTGACCAAAACAGGAGCTTCGGGAGAAAAACTGGAGTGCAATGGAAGCTCTGTCAGCCACCGAGTCCATGCTTCAAGGAAAACTCAGCAAAGTCGTCAAGGTTCGACCCCTCACTTCAGTCTGCTTCACTCTAGTTCCAATCTGATGCATTCCCCTCCAAAAGGCTGTGTTTTGTCATAATCGACCCTGTGAAGTTTCTTTATTTATTTTCCCACCATCATCCACAATAATAACACTGCATACTCATTTACCTTACTTTCCTTTTTCCACTTGCTTTGCCTGGAGTTCTATTGGCTTCGTTTTGAGCTGATGAACTTGTTAACTCCTCTATGACTTCAGGTTTTTAAGACTTGGAACAAGTGTTCCTAGATTTGTTTATAAAAACCTTATTTTTTCCTCCCAAAGCTCAGGCTAACGTTTGGAAATGAGTGTGCAGTGACTTAGACATTTTGGTAGCTGTCATTAGATTGAGATTCATGATCATTAATTTTACAGCTTCCTGTCTTTTTGTCGTTTGGCATGGCATGTTTCCCCTACTCTGCTTTGTGACATCATACTGTCTATATTACCAACTAATCAATCACGTTTTAAAATCTTGCCTATGTTTTTAGGACATTTAATTATTCAAAACCTTGAATCCGTATATATAAATAACAGCCCTGCAATGTTTCTCAATGCTCTGTTCTCACATCTGAAACAGCTTTGACCTCCACTGAGACGAACAAGTGCAATCTACTCAGTGTTTCCTGCAGCCGCAGGTCTCCTCGTGTAGCTGGCAATCAGATAGCTGTTCTATTAACAGTTGCACTGAGATGTGTGTATATTTTTGTCATCCTCCTCCTACATTAGGTAAGGGTGAGCCGTCGGCACAGCAGCTGCTCGTCGATCATTTGAGTACAGTACAAAGCACTTCTTCCAATCTGAGCCGTGCGGTTGTTTTTTTGGAAGTTGTTGTCTCCATGCATCCCTGTAGAATTGCAAATGAATGAAAGTGAGAGTGAGGCATTGTTTATCCTTGGTTCCTTCCTGTATTTTGTGACCCAAGATTAGAATTGATTGGTGAATCTTGATTGATCAGCTGATTGAGTTAAATCAAAACTGGAGCTTAAGAGTAAAACTGGGGTCATATCTGCTTGTGTGACCACTGGATCCAGAAACAGCACTGCCTGAACCGATTAATCAGTGAGTTCTTTGTCTCCCCTTCCTCTTTTTGCACATTTGACCTTGTAGGATAATCAGGCAGCACTGGCAGTAGCTGAAGCTGAGTGTCGACACGTTCTGCACAGACTTCTGCCCCACGTGCCCCTGCCCTCTGAACAGGTATTATTTGAACTGAACTTGTACCTTTTTTGAGCTGATTTTATTTATTTATTTGGTATGGATTTGTTGGTTTACTTCGATTTTTCTCCACAACTTTCCAGCAGAATCACCAGGAGTGGTTGCAAAGGTTTGAGAAGGCAGTTGCTGAAAGCTCCGTTGTGCAATCCAACCAAGCATCAGGGGACTCTGAGGTAAGCGGAAAAGTAGAACTGTACAGCCAAACGTTAATCCCGTAAATACTTGATGTGTAAATAAAAATGTTTCTTTATTTTTTTTGTAGGACCCGGCGGAGAAACTGAAAGAAGCTGAGGAAAACCAAAAGATTCTACAAAAAGACTGCGAGACGTATAAGAAGGTTTTGGCAGAGACGGTGAGAGATTTTCTTTTTGAGACCCTCTCATGACTGCAGTGGTCTCTTCTCTAAACTGAGCCGTCATTCCTGCCGTGTCCACAGGAGGGCATCCTGCAGCGCCTCCAGAGCAGCGTGGAGGAAGAGGAGTCCCGCTGGAAGCTGAAGCTGGAGCAGTTCCAAACAGAGCTTAAAGAGGTACCAATTCAGACTCTGATTACTTGATTCTGACAGCATTTTGTCTTTTTTATCAAATGTCTTTAATCTATATCATATTCTGTAATAATAATAATATTTCTTGTGTTGTTTAGGTGAGGAGAGAAAAGCAGCACTTTGAGTCTGAGCTGGARCGGGCGGAGCGGGAGAGCGCCACCTATGTGACAGAAGTCAGAGAGGTGAGGAGGGACACGATCTTTTCAGCAACATTTTTTTGATTTCTGTCATTGTTCCTGTGGACAAACCACGACTTCTGCTGTTTGAATCCATATGAGATCTGGTGCTTAAGAAATTTACACAACAGACGTTTTGAAGATTGTTGACCTATTTATCTTTCACATAGGTGTCTTTTTGTAATAAAATGTTCTTAACTTCCACATTTGGTCATTGTGCAGAACAGGACGCTGTTCCTCGTGTCATTACATGGCTCTGCCAGAGTAAAAACAGCTTTGGTAGCGCTGCCGTGGATCATCTCCCTCAAACCCTCATTGATTAAACAACCTCATGTCAAACTTAATTTCAGCTCAAAGATCTGTTGACTGAATTGCAGACCAGACTCGATGGCTCATATACAGAGGCCATCAGACAGAATGAGGAGCTAACCTTGGTAAGCATGGATCATCCGCTAGCTAGAGCTGCTTTAACGTCTGTCCCACTGACCGCCACAGGATGGGGTTCTTCAGCTTCTGCAAACTCTCTGGGTCACCTTTTTATAACTTCTCTACACCTGTCAGAGCCACTAATACTGTATATAACTTTGTAAAAAAAAACAAGAGTTTGAAGGGTGATTCACTTTGACCTGCAGTGACACTAACACTCATTTTTCTACACTTTTAACTGCCTAGAGCTTGGCTTCACCGTTTTCCTCTCTGCAGAGGCCAAATAACTCACGCTTCAGCCTTTTAAACATGTCTCATCTGTTTTCTTTCAGTCTTTAACTGTTGTTGGAGCTTTTTCAGTGGTTATCATAGGAATGTCTGCAGTCAGTGTTTTCAGACCATAAAGGCTGTGTTCAGACCAACAATGGCACTATCAGAAGTGTGACCTACTTATTTCCAACAATGAGAATTTCACAGAATGGCACACAAGATTGTTGAACTTGTTGCAGGCCCCCAACTAGAACACGTTTATCTTTTGAGAATGAGCAAAACGAAGTTTCTGTCAGTTTTTCAATCTCATTGTTTTTTGTTTGTTTTGTTTTATTTGACGTAATTTACTAAATGTGTTAGTCTTTTTGGAAACTTGGGAAGAAGTGACTGGATTTAAGAGGACTTTCTAGATGTGAAATCCTTTTTAGAAGTATTATAAACAAATACACAATTTTAGTTTTAAGTCATATCAGTGAATCTGTGTAAGTCAAGCTGGAATTCCTAAACAGTGATTCATCATTTTACAGCTACCTGTCACAGCAAGCATAGTTTTATTCTGGATTTGAACCCAAACAAGACATGTTATTCTGATAAACTACTTTCACTTTGATGTTATCACACCCTTAATGTCTTTTTTTTTCTCTCTCTCTCTCTCTGTTCCAGCTAAAAACTCAGCTCACTAAGACGGTGTCTAAGTTGGAGACAGAGGAGAACGAGAGACAAAAGGTGGCTGGTGACCTCTATAAGGTAACAATCCTAATTTATATTTTATGTCACTACTGTTACAGATTAAACTGCAGCATTGATGAAATGATTTAAATGATTTTTCTCCTTTATATAGGCTCAGCAGTCTCTTGAACTGATTCAGGGTGAACTCTCAAAGCTAACAGACAAAACCGATGACCTGATAGAGAACAGCAGTCTGTCGTCAGAGCGAGTAAGAATCTGTGACCGTTTGTAATAAAACCTTCAGTGCTCCAACACCAGGTTTAAATCTGCTCTCGTGTCCAACAGGAGGAGATGGACAGAAAAGAGAAAATGACTGCAGGACTGAATCAAACTGTCAGAGAAATGCAGCAGCTGCTGCAGTCAGTCAGCCAGCAGCTCACTAAGGAAAAGCAAGGAGTAAGTTATTGTAACATGCAAAAAAGATGAAATTGTAACCCGATCTTGTTGTGCCAGTTTGCAGCAGTGGATTTGAATGTGGCGCTTTATTTTCCCTTCAGGAGCTCGACAAAGATCTCCCCAAAGTATAATGATGGGAGGACGAGCACCCTGCAGCCACCCCGACTGCACTACAGAGACCACCTTTAGACAACGGTCTTATCACTGCTACACCCAAGCACCCCCACCCCCCAAACTCTGTCACCTCACCTGTACTGCGGGCGGCCTTCAGCTGTCTCTGGCCGAGGGGCTGGTGATTCCAGACCCATTGTTAGAGGGGGCCGGCAGAGGTCACTGCTCTGTTCCGAACACGGTACCAAACTACTCCACTCCAGCCACATTCCTCCTGTTTTGCAGCATCACATGTTGATTTCACTCCAAACTTCCTGCATTATTTAAACTGTGTGGAAATCATTCCTCTGTTTTAAATCACCTGTATTTTTTTCTCTCCAATGCAATCCTTTTGAATATTGCAGTAGTGGTCCTTTTTTTTCCTTCTTTGTCTTAAGAGGGCAGAGATTCAAATGTCAAACTTAACTAAATGAACTTTGGGTTTTCAGCATTTTTCTTCTTAACTTAAAAAGATATATGTATTGTTTAAATGTACCACTTAGGACCTGCTGAAATACTGTGTTGATCTGTTAATTTGCCCTCTGATCAGAGAACTCAAACTGTATTTGTCATACATCGTTCCATGCATACCTTGGCTCAGTTCTGGCTGGGAAAAGGGAGATTGTAAGAAGGTCTCTGCATGTTAGATGGGTGACTAAATATGGAGCTGCAAAGGTTTGTCCTGCAGCTCTGAGGAAAATGGAGTTTCTGGCCCTGGTTATGCAGCGGCCAACAGTTTAGAGGTTTTTAATCCTACTGCAAACACTTTAGAGACAAGTGTCCCCTATCCTCTATATTCAGCACTTGCTACGTTGTTGCTAAATTCATTAACACTGAAGATACTGTTCTTTTTGTAACAGGTGATGTTAATAAAAGGGATGCTTAATAAATCTGTTTAGGTTTTTTTTTTAAATGTATAATCTACTGCCCTGTTTCTCCTGACCACAGTGGGGCAGCACACCACCTTAGTTTATGTTTACATAGATTTGAATCATGGCCTTGGCAAAACCCTGAATGTGAACTGCAAAATTTCAGGACCAGTGTACCTTTTTGCTGGCAGGTAAATTTGTTTTGGGAAACACGGTGAACTTGTTTTTCACGCTGTTATTTTAGTCAACACTGTGAATGCGGCAAAGCTTCGGCTAGAAGTGTGATCATTTTTCCCCATTATGCATATTTAAATACTTTGAACAGACAGAAAGGCAGGTTGTGAAGATGCTGCTAAAGAGGTTGAGAGTCATTCTCCACAAAGAAATTGAAATGAGGTGAAAGACCACTCACTGAGGAAGAAGCCATTACTCTGAACGCAGCTTTAAAAAAAGCCAGATTACAGTTTGCATATGCACGCATCAAAAACGTTGTTTGCAGTTTGATAGAGCTAAAATTGAACTGTTCGACCAGAATGACTACGTAAGTTTAAAGGAAAGGCAGGGAACATTGCAAGCCTGAAGACACCATCCTGACTGAAGTACGGGGGTGGTAGCATCATGTTGTGGTGGGTGTTTTGCTGCAGGAGGAACTGGTGCACTGCACCCAATAGATGACACAGCAAGGGGGGGAATCATCTCAAAACATCAGCCAGAAAGTTAAATATTGGGTCCAAATAGGTCTTCGGAATAAACCATGACTTTAAATGAGRTACAAAATTACTAGAGTTTTGCAAAGTTCTAAAGTTTTATCAAGAGGAACAGGACAAAATTACAGCAAATTATGAGAAGTTTATGGAAAAAGTTTGACCCAAGTCGTACAGTTTAAAGGCAAATTTAAGAAATTGCATGTAAATCTGACTTTACAACTCACTAAGAAATAATTCTTTTATTTGTTTATTATTATTTATTTAACAT